GACATATTGCACTGGGCAAATCTGCTGCACAAGATCTCTTTAAAATGCTCAAGAGCAAAAATGTCAGTTTGAGGACTAAGGTGTGTCTGACCCAAGTCATGGTAGCCTCATATGCATGTGACAATTGGACAGCGAATAAGGAAGACTGTAGAAGAATTGGTGCGTTTGAATTATGGTGTTGGAGGAGACTATTGAAAGTACTATGGAATGCCAAAAGAACTGACAAATCCGTGTTGGAAGAAGTACAGTCAGAATGCTCCTTAGAAGCTAAGATGGCCAAACTTTGTCTCTCATACCTCTGACATATTATCAGGAGGTAGCTGTTACTGGAGAAGGACAACATGCTTGTTAAAGTGGAGGGTCAACAAAAAAAGAGAAAGACCACAACGAGATGGATTGGCCCAGTGGCAGCAGTAGCAATGGTCTCAAGTGTAATAACGATTGTAAGGATGACGCAGGATTGGGTAGTGTTTTGTTCTGTTTTACATAGGATGGCACCTAACAAAACATACAAGCACACAGAGCCAGAAAGCACCAGAAACTGGACTTTTGACAAGAGACCTGTTTGACTAAAAAAACCTATGCTCTTAAACACCCATCTCATGTACTTATTCTTGCATCAATTCTTCTACAGTCTTCCTAATTCATTGTCCAACTTTCACATGCAAATGAGGTGATTGAAAATACCATTACTTGGGTCAGATGCTGCTCAGTCCTCAAAAGGACATTTTTGCTCTTTAACAGTTTAAAGAGTTCTTTTGCAGAATTGTCAAATGCAATGAATCATTTGGTTTCTTGATCGCAGCTTCTATGAGCATTCATTGTGGATCCAAGCAAAATAAAGTCTTTGACAACTTCAATCTTTTCTCCATTTATAATAATGTTATATATTAGTTCAGTTGTGAAGATTTTAATTTTCTTTACAGTGTAATGCAATCCATACTAAAGGTTGTATGTGGTCTTGGTCTTTATCAGTAAGTAATTCAAGTCTTCTTTGCTTCCAGAAAACAAGGTTGTATCATCTGCATGTTGCAGGTTGCTAATGAGTCTTCCTCCAATCCTGATGCCACATATTTCATATAATCTGGTTTCTCAGGTTATATGTTTAGCATACAGATTGAATAAGTATGGTGAAAGGATACAACCCCTGCACACACCTTTCCTGCTTTTAAACCATACAGTATCCCCTAGTTTTGTTCTAATGGCTGCCTCTCAGTCTATGCACAGGTTCCTCATGAGCGCAATGCTATCCATAGTCTGTCATGATCCAGTCAAAAGCCTTTGCATAGTCAATGAAGCACAACTAAACATCTTTCTGGTGTTCTCTGCTTTTAATCAAGATCCATCTGATGTCAGTAATGATATCCACCATTCCGGGTCCTGTTCTTATTCTGGCTTGAATTTCTGGCCATTTCTGTTGATGTATTGCTGCAATTTTACTTGCATGTGATATATTTTTTTTAAATAAATGTTTTATTGTGAATTATGTGATAGTTTACCTGGGAGAACATTAGTTTTACATTCATTCTATCATATATCGTTTCATTGCCATAGTTACAATTCTGTCCATGCATCATCAACCAACC